GGCCAGGAAGACCAGTGAAATCAAGATAAAGAAGACCAGGCTTGCACCACACATACAGCAGTAAGAGAGAAAGTGGAGGGGGCAGGGGAGAGGTTTCTATCTCTTGGTAGGAAAACATACATGAAAGTGGAGCTATCAGACACCAGTCATCCTAAAAGCCATCCAAGGCACGCTCACCAAGCACTGCTAAACCTTCCTACCATGGAAACGCCCTTCAGCTCTCACCACAGACACTGGGCAGGGCTTTGCAGACATACGATGTTGCTGCTGTCAGGAACCAAACAGACCTCACTGTGCATCACCTGCACTGGGCTCCAGCACTGCCCTGCTAGCAGGATCCAGATACAAGGATGGGTTGCTGGCAGCCTGTTGAAATTAAAATAGATCACCTTTCAGAAGAAGTGGCACCTCAGTGATTTCAGAAATATAAGTTTTTAAGAACTTGAATTTTTGTTTAAGGGCTCGCATTCCTACTCCAAGCTCTCTCCCAGACAGAACAGCAGTAAGACATTTTCAGAGGGAAATTTTCTTCCTTTTCATCTTTCCATCTCCACCTGAACCAGAAAGAAGTCAGAATATCTTTCAGTAGCTTCTGCCTTAATCTCTTTCTCCACTCATTTTACCTCGAAAAGCGATGTGGGCTTTCCATTGCTGAGGAAGCTGATAAGGCCTGGTAAGTCTCCCCACGAGGAAAAAAAAAAGGAAAAATTAAACCAGAACAAAGAAAGTTTTGTCAGGTGAAAACAGATGAGACAATTCAGGGAAAGGTTATTTCTCACCAAGAAGCCACCTATTTAAAACTGCTTCAACTCCTCTGCCAAGACATTCCCCTAAAGAAGAGGGCTTAGTGCCTGCTGCTAAAAATATTTTTAACTTGGGCTGATAATCACATCGCTTTAAAACATTACAGAATTAAATCATGCGCTGTATGGAGATGGTAAAGCTGCCTTCACCCTCACAGAAAGCTCTGAGCCCAAGGAGGAGACGGTGCTGCATGTAGATGGATGAGCTGCAAGGAGCAGCCCCGGAGCCAGCCAGGAGGATGGGGTCAGAGAACAGCACTGTCTGCAGGAGGAGCTGTACAGGGGGTTAAACGCCTGTGTAAGTTACTCAGATATTGTGAGATTACTGCCTGCTTGCAAAGAGCCTTCCTAAAATGCAAAGGGAAGGAGGGCCACACATCCAGAGTGGCCATGGACTGTGCTCATCATGGCCTCTTTCCAAACACGGCTGCAGCTCCTGTGGGAATGTCTGGCACCAGAGTGCCCTGTTTCAGGGGACCTGGAGAGAAGCATCCTCAGGAAGGAGGTTACCGAGGGATTCCCTCAGCTATTGACACACCGAGATACTTGGCAAGATGCTCTCTCTGGAAACGTCAGAGACACAGATGCTGTGCAAGCTCCCTCTGGGGCTTTTAAGAAGTGCCTGACTCAAATGGAAATCAATGCGAGGCTGGACTCAACTGCTCCGGAGAGAAAAAGCTGTATGCAAAGCCAAGCCCAGGGCTTCGTTTGTGCACCACGCTGGGGCCAAGAAGGGGTGTCCCAGGGCCCCAAATGGCTCACGGGGAGGGAGCGGCTCATCGGGGGAGATCCCAAATCCCTTCACCAGCAGCGAGATTTTCCCGTACATCTGCCTTCCCTCCTTTGCTCGGGCTTCAGCCACACACCTCCCCTCGAACTAGGAACCTATGCCCACGCCCAGACAGCCGCAGTGCTGCCTGCAGGCTTGCCTAAAGAAGGAGCCTGGAGAGATGCACAACAGTGGAGGAACTCCGCAAAGCGGCCGGGCTAACCGCAACAGATGCTGCCGAGCTCAATGCCTGAAGCAGCCCGGCACTCCCGCGAAGGAAAACCCCCCCAGCCCGGCTGCGGGCAGCACAGCCGCCGGGCACCACGCAGGAAGCGCCGCCGTGCCCGCACCGCACCGCCCCGCTCCGCTCGGCCTCCGCCGCCGGTTCCGTGGCTTCTGCTGCCCTCTGCCAGCCGCGAGAGGGAAGCGCCGCAGCTACGGCCGCAGAGAGGCCCTCGGGACGCTCCTTCGTAGGAACGAGCGCCCGCTGGGAATCGCTGTTCAACGCTGGCTGCTGATTGCTGAGGAAGGAGAATGGTTTGAGAACTGCTTGTTCTCCGGTCTCCAGCAAAATCCAAGCCCTAGAGTTAGATGGAGCGTCCTGTCTTCAGAGACCAACTCCACCCTCCACACACGCAGCACCTCTGGCAACCATTGACATTAACATGCTTCTGAGTGCCTTTCTAAGGTTGCACACGTGCTAAGAGAGGCTGTAGATAAATAATATCACCTGCACACATGTCACGGCCATTCAGGTCAGCGAGTGCATTTCTCTTAGCTGGAAATGTCCACGGGAGACCTCTGCTCTCTCAGATGAACTTCCACTTTAAACACAGGCTTACTCAAGCGTTAGCATCCCATCGATGCATGAAAGTGTCCCTCTTGTAGGTGAAGTGACCATGAGATGATATTTTTGCATCTAGACTTAAACAAACCAACCAACCAAAAGAAACTGAACTATGGTTAGCTATTCAAGTTGGTTTTTATCCTCCTCAAGGAAGAGTTGGGGTTTAAACTCTAGGCTCCACTAACCCAGGTAGGGCAGACCTTAGACTGTCAACCTACCCATCAGCATTAGGGCCAAAGCCAACAGAACCTCTGGCCAGCCCTCTTAACCCAGCAACTGCAGACCTGCAGAAGTTCCTTGCTTACACTACTCTCAATATCTCAGCAGGACATCTGGGAAATCAAGGATTTCTCAGGAAGGCAGGGATCTCCAGAACATACCCTCACCTCCACTGCCAACTCTTAAATGAGGTCTGGGAAGGGGTGGATCCTGGCTCCATCCTTTCTGGTCACTCCAGTACATCGCATGCACCTGAGCTCCTCCAGGTTGGCCCTGCCTTCCCACCAGGTGCTCAATCAGTGCTTCAAGCCATGACTTGGCATTTCTGCTACACCCAAACAGCAGTTTAACACTAGACTTTTTCCAACTATGGCAGTATAGACATACTGTCATGGGGAATGGGAGAGGTGCCTGAGGAGTGGAGGAAAGCAAATGTCACTCCTGTATTAAAAAAAGGGCAAGAAGGAGGACTCAGGTAACTATAGATCACTCACCTCCATTCCTGGAAAGGTGATGGAATAACTTATCCATGGCTCTGTCTCTAGGCATATCAAGGATAAGAGAGTCATTAGGGGCAGTCAACACGGCTTCACCAAGGGGAAGTCATGCTTAACCAACCTGATAGCCTTTTATGAAGATATAATCGGGTGGATAGATGATAGTAAAGCAGTGGATATGATCTATCTTGATTTTAGTAAAGCATGTGATACCACCTTCCATAGCATCCTCACAGCTAAACTGAGGAAGTGTGGTCTGGACAATTGGGTGAGGTGGACTGTGAACTGGCTGAAGGAAAGAAGCCAGAGAGTTGTGGTCAATGGGACAGAGTCTAGCTGGAGGCCTGTATCTAGTGGATTTCCTTGAGAGTCAGTACTGGGACCAGTACTATTCAATATATTCATCAACAACTTGGATGAGGGAATAGAGTGCACTGTGAGCAAGTTTGCTGATGACACAAAACTGGGAGGAATGGCTGACACACCAGAAAGCTGTGCTGCCATCCAGTGAGACCTAGACAGGCTGCAGAGTTGGGCGAGGAGAAATATAATGAAATACAACAAGGGCAAGTGTAGAGTCATGCATCTGGGCAAGAACAACCCCAGGTACCACTATAGGTTGGGGACTGACATGCTGGAGAGCAGCACAGAGGAAAGGGACCTGGGGTCCTTGGTGAGCCAGCACTTTGTGGCCAAGAAGGATAATAGCATTCTGGGGTGTATTAGAGGGACTGTGGTTAGTGGGTCGAGAAGGGTTCTTCTCCCCCCCTGCTTTGCCCTGGTGTGACTGCATGTGGAATACTGTGTCCAGTTCTGGCCCCTCAGTTCAAGGGGGACAGGAATCTGCTTGAGAAAGTCCAGTGCAGAGCCACAAAGATGATTAAGGGAGTGGAGCATCTTCCTTATGAGGAGAGGCTGAAAAAGCTGGGTCTCTAGCTTGGGGAAGAGTAGACTGAGGGGTAACATCATTAATGTTTATAGATATGTAAAGGTTGAGTGTCAGGAGGATGGAGCCAGGCTCTTCTCAGTGACATCCAAAGATAGGGCAAGGGGTGCAAGCTGGAACATAGGAGGTTCCACATAAATGAGAAAAAACTTGTTCACAGTGAGGGTACCAGAACACTGAAACAGGCTGCCCAGAGAGCTTGTGGGGTCTCTTTCTCTGGAGACATTCAAAACCCACCTGGATGCTTTCCTGTGTGACCTGATCTAGGTGTTCCTGCCTGGCAGGGGAGTTGGCCTAGATAATATTATGAGGTCCCTTCCAATCCCTGACATTCTGTGATTCTGTGATACCGTGGGCTCACAGCAACAGCCTCATGCCTCTCCAAGGGCTACAGATTGCCACAAACCAGGGGTCCCCCAAAGCTGGCAGAGCCCCATGTCCAGCAGATCAATTCACTGACCTCAGGGTACTTCTCCCAGTGCACTGTGCTTCCTAACCATGTAACACACAAACCATAGAGGCACAGGCCATCCCTAGAAGTCTACTCCTGCCAAACTCTGGAGAGATCCCTCTTTGTTGGTTTGTTTTTTATTTGTTTGTTTGTTTCATTTTTTATCTTTCATACTGGAACTTCTTATCTGCCCACAGCTTGTTGGCAAGAGTACTGGGTTCCATCCCTGGCCTGAAGAACATTGGTTTGATCTCCAAGAGAAAGATCAGCCTGTAAGAACTGTTCAGAGAAAATGACATAACAAGGTATCTCTTTCTTCAACAGATCTGCTTCCTTGCGTTTGTTTGAAGTCTGACCTGATTATTCTTGCAATTGTATTTTTAATGCTCATCAGGTATCCTTAGAGAAATGGATAGTCACTTTTTTTAGATCACGCATATGCAATCAGACAAACAAGACAAAGCTCACCTGTTCTTCCCATCCACAGCCAAAAGCACATCCGAACAATGACTCCAGAGAAAGCAGTAGCTGATCAGATGGGACAGAGAATCGCTTTCTTGTCTGCCTTGGGCACACACACCAGAAGTGCCATCTGTCTCCATTGTAGGGACAAATGCTGCCCTCATACTGGAATGCACCAAAGGAAGTTGTCTGTTACTCATGCAGTTGTCCTATTCACGTTAGGAGGTTGTGCACACAGTGCTTTTCTGTTTCTTTCTCCCCTAAGTAAAAATCTCACATTTGTACAAGTCCACCTAGATATTTAAATATATATTTCAGGCTGAAAGGCATCTCCTGTGGCTGGGAAGCACCCACCTCTCCCAGGTGCTCAGCCCTCAGCCATCTGAGACCAAGGCTGATTTTCCCCACAGCTTTGCTGTGGAGCAGCTGCTCTTTCAGGTTGCCACCCTTTCTCAGCTCTTCCCTCAGCACACCCACAGCCTCTGGCTCTGCTGTTGAGCCTCCCAACAATGGGACTGGGATCAGAGGCAGCTATGCTGGGGGTGCAGCACATCCCCACATGCATCTCAGGAGTTAAAGCCACAGCAACTTGTGCCTGGAGGGGATTTTAAGGCAGAAAGTTTGAGATGTTGCAAAGTGCTGCCATAAGCAGAAACCATGGGCGCAGGTAACCTCTGCATCTCATAAATCATCAGGAGGGGGCAGAGAAGTAGCCACTGTTTCATCAGTTAATTACAACTGTTAATCATATTTTCATTAACCTGAAATGAAACTGCCAGCATTTCCCCCATTTCCACCCCATGCCCCAAATCCCATTTCTCAAATAGCAATTCCTTGTCAGCCAGGACACACAATGTTGTTTGCAACATGCATCTGGGGAGCACCCCATTCACAGGGACTTCCAGACCCTACTGCCTTACCTCTCCCTCCATGTCTGCTCTGAACCTGCTGTGTCCTAGGGATGAAGGAGCAGGGAGTGATGCCCATCTCCTGTGCTGCTCAACACCATATGGGCGGCTGCAGCAAGTCTCCAAGCTCCAGGTCTGCTCACACTTCCCTGACAGCTTCCAATTATAATTGGAAAAGATCACTAAGATCACCAAGCTCAGCTACCAACCCCTTGCCACATACCCACTAAACCATGTCCCTCAGTGCCACATCCACATAACACCTCCAAGGACAGTGACTCCCCCACCTCTCTGTGCAGCCTGTGCCTCTTCTTCTCCTTCTTATTAGTGCCTTGCTACACTCCCAAAGACAAAGAGTGAACTCAACATGTTGCTCTTCTGCACTACCTGCAGGGCTGGAAAGAGGTCAGGCCACCAGGGTTGGAAGAAGAGCTTGGTTATAAGCCACGGCCAGCAGCTTCAGGCTCCAGAGTGGCTTTTGCTATCTCCTTCTCTCCCACCCTCTAGGAGCCCTAGATGACTAAGCAGTCTGTAAAGGTGTTAATGGGAAACGCATCACCTCTGTCACAGCTGCAGTGCAACAGGGCACCCAGCTCAGAAATGAGATATAAAGAGCATACTTAACTCTCACAGTGTGAAAACTGCTGGGTTAAACAGAACAGAGGATTGCTGGCTCCAGCAAGCATAGCTGATCTCTTCATTTTATGGCAGAGTGCTTACTTTGCCAAACACAGTCCTCAATCCCCATGGAGCAGGGGGTTTCTCCTGTGTTAAACGTCTTTATATGTTACCAGGTGTGATAATGGTATATAAATTGTGTTCATTACATACCTTTCTGTAGAAAGAGTCACAGCAATGTCTCACCAGATGAGCCCAGCTTTTTTTGGTTCACGGAAGTCTTTGATGGATCTCAGTAGTAGTGGTTTCTGCTGAGGCAGGAGGTGAGTTGCAAAGAAGGGCCAAGAAACCTTTCATGCCTCCATGGCAGCTTCATACAGAATTTGCCATCATAACTCCTCCAGTCTAGGGACAGGAATTTAAGAAAAAAAGGTCAAAGAGATCCACATTCTCCTCAATGTCCTTTTTAATAGCAAATTAAGTTCTTCAGCTGAAGAACCAGATTTCAGTCAATGTTAGTGTGCTCTCAGCTGAACAGGAAGGAGGAGAGAAGAAAGCAGAAGTTGGTCTGATAAAGGAAAGCCTTTTCTGATCCAGTTCCCAGCTATCTTAGGCTTTTCTGTTCTGTGTTCCAGAAGTCCTACCTGAGCTTCTGTCCTCATCTCCTGCAGAAGCATCCCGCAGACATGTTGCAGAGGAACAGTGCTTTTGGAAGGAGCCTCCTACAACCCTACTGGTCCAGGATCCTTTCCTCTATGGCAATAGTCTGCGGTTGAGCTGAAGAAGCTTCTTGTCCAATTTGCACCACAATCTGGCATTCAAACATCAGTGCTCCAGAAAGACTGAAGATTTAACTTGATGACTCATAGGAAGACGTGCAGCCCCCCAACATTCCCTGGCACAGAATAGCCAGCACAGTAAGATAAACCGAAGCTATATTTTAAGTGACCCTCCAAAACCATATGCTGACACAAGGCATGACGGGTAGCACATTGTCTCAATGCTCTAACCACTGCATTCAGGCAGAACAGCAGACGAGCCTTGAATAAGCATAGAAATGGCATACAGAAGGGAGATGCTGTAGTGCTCATGGAGGAGCCTGGTTCTTTGCTAAGGAAAGCTCCAAGAAGCATCACTTTTGCCCTGGTGCAGAGACCAGCTCAGAGAGCTTTGTTGCACCCCAGCAGGCAGTGCTGAGGGGCTGCCTTTAACGTAAGCAGCACCTCCTGCCTTACTTTGCAGCCCCAGGAGGCTCTGGCAGCACAGAACCAGCCCGGCTGGGACAAGGACACTGCAAACACGCCCCAGGATTGGTACAGGTCAGGACCTGCTTCTGTGGCAGCCCTGACAGTTAGCATCTGCCTTCTGGTTAAAGCTTTAGCTACAGATTTCCTCAGCCCCTTTGTGCTTACCTGACCCATCATGCCCCAGACAGTCAGAGTGAGGATAAGCTGCATTTGTAATATCCCATCATACTGACAGCACAGACTACTTGGCATTCACCCTCAGTCTCCCTCAGGATCATTTGTAATCCCCTGGACTTCAGGTCCAACACAGGACATCCTTATCAGCTACCAGTGAGGAGAGCTTAAATGCCAAATAAACACTTCCATGAGTTACAGACCCGCTCTCCCAGCTAAGCAACTCCTACAGCTGGCACTGTGCTGGACCACAAGCGCTCACCTTTGCTTAAAGCCAAGCTTCAAATACAAAGCTCCACATTCAGCAGTAAAAGTTGACTTAGTCTCACCCCTTGTTCTCCCCATGGCTAAACAAGGCTTGCTTGCCTCATTTCTGCCATAAAATCGTGACCTTCGCAGTTTGAAATAGCCAAGAAAAAAAAAATCAGATACAACATTTTTAATGACAAGAATAATTAAATATTACATTCCCTGCAACTGCATTCCTAATTTAGCTGGTTGCATGGGAGCTCCTGTTGACAAGATATCTGCAAATCAAAGCAGCTGCTGTAACAAGCTGGCCTCGCTAAAAATACTCTGCCTTCATCCACATAAAGTTATTGGGCTCATCAGATGAGGAGTGTCAGTCATCCAAAAGTTAAGGACCCCCTATACAGAACTTACTTAATCAGCCTTTCTGGCCTCAAGCTCCAAGAGCTGAAGCCTTGCACTCTTATTAAGGGTTGAGCTGCTAAGCCACTCACCTTAAGAAAGTCAGCATGAATATTTACTAACTGAACGCAAACTGCACGGCAGCTCTTCTCTGTGCTGCTATCTGTGCCAGCTTTAAGAGCAGCCCACTGAAGGCATGGCAGCATGACTTTTTGAAAAAAAAAAAAAAAAAAAAAAAAAAAAAGATATGTCTGACCCAGGAATGTGCCAATTGAGCTTGCTGTAAGTGAGGATTTTTTGGGAAAGCAAGGAGATCCATTGTGTTAAGTGCTGGGTATAGAAGTGGGTTAGATGGGACTTTCCCCAAGGAACTGGTCTGTCAGTCATCAGGGGAAAGCATCTTTTAGAAAAAGCTACACAACTCTCAGTGCTGCCCAATGCATTTTGAAATCATGGTCCTTTATCAGCACAGCTTCTCTCCTGGGAGCACCAGCTGGGCGGATGGCAGCTCCAGCCCTCCATGCTTTACCCCAGCAGGATTAGGGCACACTTCACATCTTTGTGTTGGCTACAGTGTTAGCATCACCTCCCTTTGCAATATGTTAAACTCATGCAGGTCACTCTCCTCAGAAACCTTGAAGAGCAGCTGCTAACACATCCTAGCTTGTTTTCAAGGAAAGACCACAAGGTTGGCAAACCTTGCATACCCATGATACTTCTCTTCATTTTAGTACTTAGCACTGTGACACAGGGCAATTCAGGCAGCAACTGAAAGACCATGCCCAAATTTTCAGCAGCATATCAGACAGTAAACTCAGCACCAACAACAGAAAACCTTATTGGCCTTGTGTCTCCAGGCTGGAAGCAGTGTTTTGAAGACACAGGAAAAGGGAAAAGTTCCAACTCACCTGGAGCATTTTGCTAAAAATAGCCCCTCTAACCCCATCTCACACTCAGGTTAGACTGTTCTATTTTAAAAGGAAGGTTACAGGCACAGCTTTCTTCTCTTACTTCAAGAAATTTCTGATCAGCAATTGCTGCAAAGACACTGTGGCATGCACAGCCCCCTAACAATTGTGCCTGTAAGGCTTGGTGAAGAAATAGGTTTACCTCAGACATAACGTGTGCCATAAGGCAGTAATTGCTCAGGTCCCTCAGCATTTAGCAGGGGAACCACAAAGCATCAGCAGATGGAAGTGCAGAAGGAAGAAGTCTGAAATGAAAAGCAGAAACAGGGAACAGCACCGAATGACGACAGACTGCAGACAGACCAACGGACCCAGGTCTCCTCTGAACACCGCAGCCCCACCACAAAGACAAAACAAATCCAACCTGTGAGACCTCCCACAAAAACACAGCGTTTACAATCGGTAAGTGCCCCGATTGAGATCAGCCGGTGATTAAGCGCAGATTTTGCTGCAGTCTGGGGGTGGCTACGGGGCTGCCCCCCAGCATCACGGCGCGCTGCTGGAAGTGGCACCTCCCAGTGGCAGCACAGGAGATGGATGCTGGCAGCAGTGCCCAGGGCTGCCGCTGCCAGGCTGGGGGTTTGTTCCTGCTCAGACTGTGAGCACCCTGGGTGAACGCAGCACTTTGCCGAGATGATCAGTGCTTAGAATAATTCCTCAGCAAACACCCCACCTGGAGAGCAAAGCCTTCCTCGCTAATGCCCTGCTTTTGCAACAAGATGTTTTCACAGGAAGGCTTTTTCGCTGGGCTTTAAAGTCATCTTGTCTGCTCCAGATCACCAGCGAGAGATGATGTTTGTGCTAATGCTCAGCTACATATCCCAGGGCAAAGGCCAGAGAGAAATACTGCAGGAGAGCGGAGAGGGAGGGAGAGGAATTCCCTGAGCAGAAATTATTTTGAGCAGAGAAAGCTGCAGAGCGGTGTGGAGCGAGGCAGAAGAAATGCAGGAGAGGGAGGTGGCTGTGCTGGGGGAGATGGAAAAGAACAGAGGAGCGGATGCTGAAAGGCTCCTCGGGAGAGGGGTGGGCAGTGCGCAGCTCACCAGGCCCTGGGGAGGTTCCCTGCTAGGAGCTGGGCTCAGCCGTGCTCCTCCTGCACAGGGATTCCCTCCGCCACCCGCTGCCGGCGATAAGCCGCTGGAGCGGAGCTCTCCCCGTATGCACGGTTAACAGCAGCCTCACCCCCCGACGCTCCCCTCTAGAGAAGCGGCATTCTCTCCTCTTCCGTGCTGGGTGCTCAGCCTCCAGTGAGAACCAACGCATCCCATCCTGCAGCTGTTAGGACAGCCCCAGCCAGCGCCAAGCAGCCTTGCAAAGCCGTCGTGCTCCCGCATGCACAGCAGGGGCAAGCGAAGCAGCTCCGGAGATGCAAGCCCTGCTCTTTGTGGTTCCCACAGCCCAGCCCTCATGGCTTTTCTCGTTGTAAAAAGGAGCTGTGACACCACGCACGCATTCAAGATCGTGCTGCACCACACCAGAGTGCAAAATTTTATAGTCTAAAACCCTATCTAGATTCAAGCTGAATCTTAACAACTAATCACTGATTTTCTCTGACAGACTTCCTGAGTGACCTTGGGACACCTGCTCCTTGCATAGCACCTCATTTTAAGTGAAAGCCCTTAATTTATTACCTTAAAGGTTGTTTAGGAAATGGTCTCCTGCTCTGTCTAGCCCCATGGAAGGCTCTGCTCAACTACAAAGAGAAAATGGGATGTAGGGGACTCAGCTAAGCACCTCCTTAGACTCCTGGTACCTGCCTTTCTTCTTGGATGCAGGCTACAGAAGGGTACTCAGCAGGCTGCCCCACTCAGTATCAAGGAAGCAGAAAGAGTAGAACTGCCCCACAGGGAGGGATAAGACCAGAACCAAAGAGACCAGGGTGTACAGCCCCATTGTACCTGAGCACTGCCCCACCTGTTGTCATGAATGAGAACCAGAAAGCCCAGCTAGAGACAAGATTGCAAAGCACATCTAGGTACCATCTAAGAGATATATTCAGAGATAGCTACAGCACAGCCCAAAGCAAAGGGTGGGTGCATGAGCCTGAGCTTAAATGGAGCCATGGCCCAATGGGTGGTGTGAGTGGGTGAGGATGTCCCAGGTGAAGCTGGCTGGAGCAGTCAGTGTCTGGTGGTGCACTTGTGATCCTGGCACAGCTTCCACATCATGAGACAAAACTCCCCAGAGACTGCTCTGTCCTGAGGTTGTGGGTTTTTTTGCTGTCACAGATGACTTTTCCTTTTGTCATCACTCGGTTTATGCTACTGTGGTTCAGGAAGCAGCAATGTGCAAAGTGCAGGTGCGAAGTGAAAGCCTTGCAGAGCTGTTCAGAAAGTCAGGTGGTGCTCAGAAGATGGAGGGAAACCTCACTGAACTTTTGCAAGAGACCTGAAGTGCAACCTGGACCAATCTGAGGACCCAGCCAGGGGGAAAGCAGAACATCCCTTTGAGATACTTGAACTAAAGACCGCAAAATATTTAGCCTGCATTATTCAAAATAATGTGAAATTATCCTAAATTTTGTGCCTGAAGTTAACACACACCCTCCTGCTCAGGGTGCATGGGCAAACCCCTGTGAGTCACATCACATCCAGAGAGGGAGCAGGGAGCCCTGCAACTGCCAATTGCAGAAAACCCTGGTGTCCTCACCAGTACTTCAGAGATTCTGCGTGGAAGCAGTGAAGGTTTGGCCATGCAAACAGACCTGCTTTTTAACCCCTCTACTTCTTTGCTCGTGTTTCCTCAGGCTTTCTAAGTGAACGAGTATTACCTCATGCTTGAACTTTTTTGTTTTTTAAAATATAATTTAGTGTGCAACCTGCAGCAAGGGTGTGAAAGCTGTGCAGGGTGATGATGAGATCTGTGGGATACCACAGCCCAAACAGAGCCTGGTCTCCCACTTATACACTAGATCCTTCTTCACTGCTTGGCTTTGCTTCCCTAAAGGAGGTGCTGGGAAGGAAAAGAGGGAGAAGGGAGGATATCAGAAGAAAATGCTCTCTCTTCCTCCTCCCTGACAGCCTGGGCTCAGATTATGCTGTTTTTCTCCCACCAAAATAACATAGTTATTCAACTTGGCAGCACAAGGTGGAGCGAGTGAGGGAGGACGATGGCGTGCGGCTGGTGGTTTTTTAATCTATCAAACATTTCCCCGTTCTGCCAACTGCAAACTCCTGCCCGGCCATCCCCACTGCAGCATCCCACGTTGCCATGCCAACAGAGGCTGTCATCCCCGCATCGTGAAAGAATGCTCTGCTTTCCTGGGGACCACGGGCTGGCAGTGTGCCCAACCAATGCTGACCCCTCGCCAGGGGATTTTGGGGTTGTTTTTTCCCCGGATCTTCCAGTCCCAGGTGATCATCTACCTCTCATCTGCTCCTTTAAGATGTCATCATCAGTGCTTGACTTAATCAGGACACCTTCGCATGATAAACAGCCTTCTCCTGACCCCTGCACTTCCATTGTGAATCAGATACAGCAAAGCAAACAATTCTTCGCTCCCTGCAACATCACACCAACTCCCTGCCCTCACTGCTGTTGTGGAGCAGGCAGAGCTGGAGGGAGCATGCAGGGCTGGGGTGGAGAGAGCCTACAGTACGGGGCAGCTGAGGGGCCCTGTGCCAGCATAGGGGTCTTTTAGAGTGTGTTTAAAACTTGCCAAGCAGATGTCCTGCAAGGCCACTCAGGAAACAGAAAGTTTGATGATCTTTGCTTTTTTCCATCAGGGTGAAGATGCTGGTAGGAGGACTGCAGCTGTAGATCTGAGTCTGCATCAGGAGATAACATCCTCTGCCAGGGAGCTGAGGAGGGGGAAGCAGTGCTCTGTCAGCTAGTCCCCAGCACACTCCAGGCTGTCCTCTCTGGAGGGAGGAATGTCCTTGTGACAATTTGGGGAGGGGCCATAGGACTCACGATGGAAGAGAAATTGAGAGCACGCTAGCAGACAGCGCTTAACTGAGAAGAGGTGAATCCCCTTAGATCAGGGCTCTGATTCTTACAAGATATGGATTACTTGCAAGGGAATGGGAGGTTGGACTATGTGATCTCCAGAGCTCCCTTGTAAGCAGTGTTCAGAGGAGACCTTATTGCTCTGTACAACTACCTGAAAGGAGGTTGTAGCAAGGTGAGGGTTGTCTCTTTCCCCAGGTAACTAGCGATAGAACAAAGAGGTGATGGCCTGAAGTTGCACCAGGGGATATTCAGATTGGATATTAGGAAAATTTTCTCTCTGAAAGAGTGATAAAGCATTGACTGCTCAGGAAGGTGGTAGAGCCAGTGTCCCTGGAGGTGTTCATAAGCAGGCATGGTGGGAGTGGGCTGGCAGACTAGACAATTTACTGGCCAAGCCCTCTGTGCCTTGGGGACACACATCCAGCTCAGATGTCACTTAAGGTTACATTAGCAAAGTGCATTGCTCTCTCCAAATGTGGAAGAAAAGTGGCCCTGGCTTTAGACAGCAGAGTTTGGAAGAAAGTAGTAGCAGAAATACAGGTTACATCACCTCAGTGTGGACAATGCTGTGCTGCTGGCTCTGAAGAGGTCTCAGGGACTGAAGAGGGAAGGCTGAGGGTGCACCAAACTGACAGAGAAGAGAAACAGGGCTCTGGGGATGCAAATAGGTGCAGCAAGCTGGCAGCAGGACTGAAGGGAAAGGGAAGGAGGGAAGAGAAGAAGGTCTGGGTTCTGTTTCAGCTGTGAACCTTGTAGGATTTGTGAGCCTAGGCCACCTTCTATAGCCCTTTGATTTTCAAATGAGGGTCGGAAGGAAGTAAAAGGGAAAGATGAAGTTCCCAGGAACAGGTTCAAACATCAGCTTATGGGAGCACCAACCAGACAGAGCCCATTGTGGTCACCCACTGCTAACCCAGCCATTACTTGCTGGTCCCAGCACAGCAGAGCCTGCAGTCATGCTCACTTGGGCTGCTCCTTGCCTGTATGGACACCAAAGATGCTGAGCACTGTGGCCACTGCTGTTCCCATTCACATAGGAAACTGCCTTTCCCTCCCAGAGGAGGTTTGTACTCCACCAGCATCACAAGAATGTTTTTCAGCTCCATTTCCAGCTGCTTTGTTCTCCTGCTTCCCTGCAGTTTCCTTGGAAAACTTAATTTTCCCCATGGGCTTCTTTTAGATGAAAACATTTCCCCCCCAATAGATTTGGTGAGCAAAGAAAGCTTCAATTGGGAACCTGAATAGAAATAATCCTTTCCATAATAATTCTCTACCTTGGTGGAGAAAGAATGAGCATAAACTGAGAAAACTTGTGCCCCTCTACCATGGCTTTGTTCAAAACGTGCCAGATACAGCCTAAATTTAAGTCAGTAGCTTTCCCAAAGCTCTTGTGTTAGCTTCAACTCACTTTATGTTACCTTCTGCAACAGCTGGCACCAGCATAAAGCAAGGTTAACACGCTACTTAAGTGTTAACTTTGCACACATTTTAAGCTGGTGTGAGCTGCAGCAGGAGGTTTTGGCTGGTGGAAATCAGATGTTTCTGCTATCGCTCCCATGATAGACAGTTCCTCCCAGGAAAAGATTTTCCTGCCCAAGAAAAGGGCAGCAGAGTGAGAGGCCTGGCAGGAGGAAGGCTGAGAAAGTATTCACAGCTCCTCCATGCTGTGCCCTACATGGAGGACATGGATAGATTTTGTTCTGATAAGTATAACAGTCCCTGTCAGTTTAAATATAGTAACTTATGATATTGGAAACTACAAGAAAGGCAAAACAAAACTTTGTCCTGCACATCTCAGAAGTAGCTGTAGTCAGGAAAAGTATTTTTGCTCTTCTTCCTAACTTGGGATAAATCAAGGACAAGTTTTGGAGTTCCTTGCCAGGTGGCAGTCCTGTTACAAAGCTGCTTTCAGTCAAGATGGAGAAGTATCAAGATGGAAAGAACTGAGCTAAAAGGTTTATCTTAATAATTAAGACTGCAGACCAGAGTTCAGGGAAACCACAGTCTATTGCATCGCTGCTACTGGCTTGCTGTGTGAGTGCAAACACGATAGCTTGTTTTGTGTGTCCCAGAGGCAGAGTGGATGAATGCTTACTCCTGAGAACACTGCGAGATGGTGTGCTTATTGGAAAAAAACAAAAGGAAAAGGCAGTGAGCAGCCAGGAGGTCGGCTGACATCCTTGTGTGTGGAGACTGTCCTGCATGGCAGCTGGGACAGATGCAGAGCTCTATCTCCTGCCCAAATCAGTGCTGCAAACGGACTAAAATAAAAGCAGGAGATAGGGAAAATTTGTGCATAGGACAATACATCATCCCCAAAAATTTCATTGGGGGTGGAGGTCTGCAGCCAGGACTCAATGTGCCGTGCTCCTGACAGGGGAGTCCTCTGCCTGGTGGGGTCAGCAGTGGGGCAGGAGGGACCTACCAGGAAGGATTCCCAGTGAAAGAGGAGCTGGCACTGCTCTAACAGTAGGGGAAGTGATCTCCCTGGGGTCTTCCCTAAGGCCTGCCATTGCCCTGCATGTCTCCCTCACCTGCATCCAAGCCAGGGCACAGAGTCCCCTCCTTTCTTTGCTCAGAGAGCACAGCCAAAAGTCCTTGTGGGTGCAAATGGGAGGGTAGAGTTCCAGGGAGACCTGTGGCTTTGAGGGGGGATACCCAGACTAAGAACATTTCTTGTGGATGGAAACTAATTGCTTTTCATGTCTGTTTCCCCCAGTCCTACATAATTTCCCCCNCCCCCCCCCCCCCCCCCAATTGCAATTTCAAAGCGATTTAAAGTAAAGGAAATGAAGGACAAATTCTTGCTGTGTTGACCAAACTGACCTGTTAAGCTGAGCGTGGTCCCTCAGGACAGCTGGTCTGGGATCATTCTGAGACTGGTCAGAGAGGTGCTGTTATTCCCAGGGAAGCCTTGTGTGGATGCTTGTCACTCAGAAAAAGTCATTGCAATCAACTTCGAAACCTGTGTAGAGCATACAGGGATCACAAGAGCATCAGGAATATATGACTTCCTTACAGGAGAACAGACACAATTCAGAGGAAAACTGCCTCTTCCTGCTGTTCTTTGGATTGAAGCCACAACACATCTGAAGAGAGAATACAGCCACTCCCTGGAAGATGATGGCCATGAGCCCTCACAGCTCAGCATCTCTTCCACCTTCTACCCCCCACCAGAGGGGACTGTCTTCTCTTTTCTTCTTCAATTGGACTTCCATCTCCCCCATGGTCCTTCCCACACTTTTGTGTCTACCTTGCTCCAAGCACGTTCCTATCTGCTGAAGCACTCATCCCTTCCCTCTACCACATGCACAGGCTGGAGATGCTCCTCTCCAGCACAGCCCCCAGTAAGATCTGCCCTGTGTTCCATCACTCCCAGCCTGTTGCCAGGCAACACAGCGTCACACACATCTTACTTTCAATCTCCAAAATGAAGTGTATATACAGGGAATTCTCCTCTTGCTCAGCCGGAAAGGAACCTCATAGACATTGGATTGGTGCAGCCAAGACAGTGAGGTGCCCCAGCTGCCACTATTTGCTGTGCTTGGTGCAAATCCAGAATAATCTAGTTCTACTCTGGGCTGTTTCTCACCAGTATGAAGGAACGCAGAACCCATCTATGCTGTTTTCCATGGCAGAGGCACACCTAGCACACAAATATGGGGCTTACACAGGTGTTTTGCTTTCATGGTTGCAAAGTGAATGCTTCAATGACTTAGAAGTTGAGGCATGACCAGAGCTTATTAGCTGTCAGCAGACTGATGGACTGTCAGTCCTATTTCAGAACCAAGATACATGTTGCACTGTCTTCCATCCTATAATGTACAAATTGCATTTCATGACAGCAATATAACACTCCTGAGAGCAAGTTTTGGCACCATTATCACCCTTCTCAGGTCATAAAAGTCACTCAATCTCAGCCACCTGTTTTAGAGCCATCAGACAAAGCCCTCTGGAACCACTAGAGTGGCTGAAGGCCATGGGAAAGCACATATGAATATTATCTCACATAAAACACCGAGTTAACGAGGAGCACACATCATGTGCCCAGTGAGAACATTTTACAGAGTCCCCATTCCAGTCAGGAGCAGTCATGGAGGAAGCACATATCTGCCTCAATTTCCCACTTGAAAAATAAAAACAGAAATTTATGACACACAAAGGAGTAGGGTTGTTCCTTCTACAGTCTTGGAAAGTTTGAGAGCAGTTTTATGTTATCTCTTATCTCTGCTCAGATTAGAAAGGCAAGATGAGCACCTTGGTGTGTGTAACACCAGTGTCTGTCATCTTCCAGCCAGGAGACTTTATGAATTTAGTTGTCATTCTGAAGCTCTCAGTCTTTGTGATGCTCCCTTTAGTAAGGCTCTTACTCAGACACCTTCTGCGTGTGCCCTCTGTGATATTATCACTCACCATTGTTCTCCACACTGTGACAGTAAAGATCATCTTTTTCTGTTATTTCCAGAATATGATTGAGCCTGGATGACCCTTACAAGCCCTGTATGTATGGTCAGTGCTTACAAACAAACCTCAAACTTGTGGTCCAGCCAGCCCTTCCTGAGGCCTTAGCTCCATGCTGGGCTCTAGCATAAGAAATGACTGAAAACATAAGAGCTAGAGAGCATTTATAGGTACAGGAACAAACAGGATATCCCGGCTGAGGTTGTTCCAGACCATGAAGGAGACCATCATGAGCTTTGTCTTGGGATAAAATACAGAGTTCTATGTGCCTGAGCTGAAGTAGATGTGGACTTAATCAACATCAGGCTAATAGGGGAAATGGGTACCCTGCTGTAACACAATGGAAAGCACAGCAATGACAGCAGAGCAGCAAAATCCCAGGCTGCAGCAAGTGACAATTTATTCAAATGCAAAAGCCACAGGCACAAAAATAAAGGGAAGAAGCTGCTTACCTTTGAAAAGCCTCAGAAGCAGAGAGATCTCAACAAGAAATGCTTACCTCCATTGCCAACCCTTAAATGAGGACTGGGAAGGGATGGATCCTGGCTCTACCCTTCTGGTCACTCAGGTAGATTGCATGCACCTGAACTCCCCTGCACCTGCCCTGCCTTCCCCCCAGGTGCTCAGTCACTAATTCAATGACTTAGCATTTCCACTACACCTGCAAAGTGCAAGAACAATCTGTCCTATTGCTTTGGCTTCAGCCCATCAACATTTAAGTTGGAGGAGACAGCTTCACGGTTTGCTCTAGAAACTCCCTGCTTCTGTGGCCAGTGGGACCGAGGTTCTGGATTTATTGTCTTTTCCTTCCTCCGTGGTGATTGTTCTCAACTGATCTTAAAGCAAGAAATTGGCATGGATAGAGGAGGAAAAAGTTGCTGAAGCCATCCTATGGAGTTCAGAGGCACTTTTTAAATCTAGGTCATGGAATCATACTGTTATTAAGGTTGGAAAAGACCACTAAGATCATCTAGTCCAACTGTCAACTCATCCCCAACATGCCCACTATACCATGTCCCTCAGTGTCACATCTGCCCCTTTCTTGATCACCTCCAGGGATGGTGACTCCACCACCATCAAGCAGATCAACACTTTCTCCCAACATGGTGTCGTCAAAAAGCTTATTGAGGGATCCTTGCAGTCCTCCTCACCACCAGTCCCAGCACTTTCTGCTGTCTCTCTAAGACTGCAGCTAGGAGGCTTGATTCTGAAGAAGAATTGTCTGTCAGCTTAAATGGGAAGAAATATCCATAGCACTGAGGGGTACCACAGCACCTGAAACTGGGGAGTCTCATGAGAGACATTTGCAGAAGATCTCCACCCTTAGCAATAATCAGTTTGGAGATGGGTTTTTTTTTTGGCACTTCTTAACTGTCTGCATGGGCTGGAGCTCCTTGTCCTTGCCTTGGGCCCTTTGCACTGCCAGTCGTAACACAGTCAAAAATGCCAGTCCCAAAGGGCATCACTACTGTTCCTAACTGCAGTCGTGGAAATGTGAAGAGAAATTAAATGTGGGGCCATTGATTTGCTAAGTTCAAACCTGAGTAGGCCTTCACCATGGAGCAGGCATGGCAGGAGAGGCTGTGGCTTGGGCAGTCTGCCATGCATAGGGCTGTTCTTTCACCGTAGATGTAGAGCTAAAGCTTCTCAATAACTACAACCATCCCAGCACTTTGGCAACCATAATTGAAGGACCTCCACTTGGCTGTACCGTTTTTCAAACAAATAAAAGCTCAAACTAGACTGGTCTGCAGGCTTGTAATAAAGGATGGCTGAAATGGGAGGCAGCGTGTGAACTCACCTCCATTGAGAATTCATTCATCCTTCCCACCACAGTTTCCATCTCTGGTAAAAGAGATTTGAGCACAGGCAAGATGCACTGCTGCATGCAAAGCTCAGCTCACCAGTTCACCCATTCACAGTTCCTAAAAATAGCAAACATTTCCGCTCGCTCTTGAGAATTCTGCACTATCTTGCAGAAGTGCAAGATGAAGGATCTTTAACTCAGCAAAGATGGAGAACCCTGGATATAGACTATGCCTTTGGGATATTTCCTTAGAAATATACAGCATCTAGCATATGGTGTGTCCATGCTTTTGGGGCTGAAGTGAGGTGGGATTTGTGGCTTAAAGGACACAGAGTTGACAAAAAATGATGCTCCCAGCTGTTCAAGCAGTTGTTGATGTCTGTCAGCTACATCAGTACTGGTGGTCTTCTCATCCAGGGCTGATGCACAAAGGTGATTACGTGGCACTGTAATTGCTGGTAGAAACTTTGTCCTGTGGAAGGTCTTGAAGAAAACTTCTGCTAGGAACCTGCAAGATGTAACCGCCAAAGGTTTCTGTCTTGTTGAGACCAGGCCTAGGTGCAGCTGCAGCAAGTGCAGGAAGAAAAGGCCATGTCCTACACAAGGCAGGAAACATTCCCTTGCCTCTGCCCTTCCCTATTTCCACATCACAAAGTACACTTCGTGTATTTGCGGGGTGTTTTTTGTCTTCTGTGCAGGAAGATCAGTAGCACTTCTGGTTTAGTGTCCAATTTGCTTTGCTTTCTCTTCTCTTGTTTTGATTCTTGTTTTTTTTTGTTGTTGTCTTTGATTGGGTTTGGTTTTCTTATTTCTGTTGTTGATAAGAATAACCGTGTTCTTTGGGAGCTGCTGGTTTGACAGAAGAGCCAGCCCTGTCCCCTCCTGTCAGCAGTGCATGGAGACCAGTAAGATTTTCCACCCTGATGACAAGGAAAGATCTCCTTGTTCCCCCTGCCACAACAGCTCCTCAGGGCCAGAGGTGACACAGCTAAGTGGTACTGGTAGAGATTTATTTTGGATGCTCCCTAGTGCTAGTTCTAATTATGGTATTTACTGATGTGGGATACTTTCTACAGAAATATCTCTCCAAGCTCCATTTGCTAGATGCATCTGTGTGCTTGGACAAGAGGTTTGAAATGTGCCCTGATGCTGGCAAAGCCCTCCTTTCTCTTTCTTTCCCTGTTTCTACAGAAAGGTAGATGTAATCTGATTCACTGCTTTACTTCTTTACTTGTGCAGACCCCTCAGGACTGATTTCTCCCTCCATGTCACAAACCCAAAGATGGAGGTAGCAGACAGATGAACAATTAGTAAGTGCTGAACCATTGGACACCATGCACCATGGTAGCTATAGTCCAGAAGCCATGATCTGTAGATACTTTTGGCACAGTGCTGTCACACTGTGACTGTGGGACTTGGAGACAGGGGTGTGCACAGGAGAAAAAGGTTATGGTGTAGAGCTTGCAGCGGAGCAACAAGTAGGAGGGTAGTTCAAATGAGTGATTTAATAACAGAGGACAGCGGACAGCCGTGAACAAATTCCTCCATGGCCTCTTCAGGATGATTGCAGTCACAGAGTGCCAACTCCAGCAGCCTCCAGTGACTCTTTTTTTACTCAGAACATGAACTTCAGAAATAAACACTTTGGGGCTCTCTCTAGAGAGCAGACAGCCCCTGAGGAGGGGAGGAAGACCCGGCTCTGGGGGTCTCAAGGCTGCCTGTCATCTGTGGAAGAAACAAACTCCTCAGCGAGCATCTTCCTGCATGAAATGTGCATCAGCCTTAATGAGACTCAGCAGAGATGGGTGACTAATTCCAGAGCATTCATTTATTCGTGAACATGGCTTCAGGTAGATTATTCAAGAGCGCACAATGGTGTCTTTGAATGCGTTTGCTGCTAAGCAATTGGCTTTCCCAAGCTCCATGTTGTGGCTGAATGGACAGATAATTCATGTGATACGGTTTCTGCTCCCGACTGGGTGAACTTGCAAGCACAAATGTCACCATTTGTGAGCATAATTTTTCCCCTTCATGTATGCCCCTGACATTTGCTTTCCACTTACCTTTTTGCCAGTAACATGCAATCACATTTGGTGGGCTGGAACACTGCTAATGGACCAGAGAAGGAAGGAGTGGAATGGCCCATAGTGGGGCTAAATGGGACCTTTGGTGTCCAGAGCTTTGAGAGAGGCAAAGGCTTCTCATCTCTCCCAGTAGCTCCTCTCTGGTACCCAACAGCTTAATTCAGAACAAGTGCTTCAGAAACGTGCTGCTGCCAGGAGACCTGTGCACTGCTGCAGCAGTGGATGGGGTTAATACCACACCTGTGTGACAGCAAGCACTGAGAGGAGCTGGAGCTGCGTCTCCCGCACTCCAGGCTCCTGGTGGTACATTTGCACATGGGGAAACATCACATGGGAATCCTGATATCATGCCAGCAATACCTGTGCCCTTCACCACAGGGCGAGGCACTCCATATGGAGCATGAGCAACCACAGAGAAGACAACCTGCCACGTGGAAATGGTGGAAGTGGCTGATCTTTGGCTAAAGGCTGAACCTGACAAAGCACAAGCTCAGACCTGCTGGGCCGGTCCCTTCTCTGTAACAAGAATGCAGGGAAACCCTATTCCTTTGGAAGAGCCCCCAGGCCATGAATATCATGAGATATGAGGAGGGCTCATTTTCATTAGCCTCAGCAGTTGTTGTGATACCTTTTCCCCTCCCATCCTTTCATACCCTTGGTGTGGATGCAAAACCTTTCTGGATCCCCCTTTTCCCCCTGTGCCTTCCATGCTGGCTGCCCCCAGGACCTCCCTGCTGTGACACGAGCTGCCCAGGGAAGATGGTCCCAACTGTGACATCAGTTTGAGTTGCTTCTCTTCCTAAGGGCTTGCAGAAGGACAGCCCCAATGGGTTGGTAGGTGCAGTGGAGCAGAA